TTCTATAGAAAAAGTAAGTTGTATTGTTATTTTATGTGAACATATGGATTTAATACGGAGAACTTAGTTTAATTAAAACTTGAGAAATTAATAATGTGAAACAACTTTCTAATATGTAAGTAATTATTTTAAAACTACTCAAAATAACATTTACTATGGGCTATATAGGGTGAGTAACCTTTTTTCAAGTAATCTGAGGGAGGTTGGATACATTTTTAAATCCTTTCCCTCATACCGGTAAATAATGTTTGTCTTGTCTTAGTTTCTATGCTAAATATAATAACACAGAGCTAGATCTAAGTTAATACATAGACCTTTAAACACTATTTATTTTAAGGTCTATGGTTAATACGAGTGATGATAGCAGGTAATCTACACTGAACTTACGAGTTAATACATTTATATTTATATGTATGGTTGGTAGCGGTATGCTACCTTGCTCTAAACTTTCAACCAATTTGAAGCCCACCTTTAAAAGTTATGGAATAATCACTTTTCACTATAACCAAATGTAAAAAAGGGACAATAATTTTATTTTTAATAAATACATTTTTATATAATTGTTACACACCTAACTGTTGTTTAAAATACCAAAAATTGCCAAAGTTTAAAGAAGTGAGGCATGTGATTGTTTTGGAGTGTACACTTATATCAGCAAACAGCATGTATAGATTTATTACACACTTCATAATAAATGTCAAGGCAGTGTACATGTACAGTTAGTAATGCATAATATTGAAAGCTAAAACCTAAACATCTGTGTTTTTGTTTACTTATTACAACCAGAATTTATAACTTCTATTGTTTTAAAGGTCATACACTGTTCAGTGTTTACAGATATAAAAAGTCAATAATTTTTTGAAAAAAGGTTATATTTTTTTGTTTTTTTATATTTTTAATGTAAATATATTATTTCACTGTGAACATGTGTGTACATGTATTTCTCAGAGGGAGCCTTGGTATTTGTAATGGAATAAACTCAATAATTGTAATCGAATTTTAAATGAGGTGAAATTTACACTAATAGTGTTCAACTATGCCAATTATAAAAGAAAATACCACACTTGTGTTGTTATGTCATGCAGGATGTATTCTGTAAACATTGATTTATTCTCTAAGGGGTCATTAGTTTTGAAAATAACGAATATTAGATCCAAGCGAAAAATAAAGTATCTTACAGTAATCCGAGACACTGGGAGAATTGAAAATTTACACATAGCAACGTGATATAAACTATTGTGTGGTCAATTTGGGAAAGAACTAGATGTCTTATATCTAGTACAAAATAATCTCACTTTGTGTTTCTGAACTCGTTACAATGTAGAACATATGTTACAGTACTTATCAACATGATTCATATTAATATCATTTCCTGGTAATTATTCATCGGCTAATTTGATAAAAATAATCATAAATATGCATTTAATAATAACATCAAATTTTGCAGGAATCAATAACTTAATATTTAAAAAAAAATATTATGTAGATAACATTAGTTGACAATGTTCCTCTCCAATTATATACCGGTAATCGATCGTATTTTTGATATTAATAAAACTAAATTGGTTCTATAATTTAGTTCTTTTTGATAGGACACTTATTTGGCTGAAATTCAAGTTTCTAAATTCAACATATTTTTTGTTTCTCTGCTTCCAGATTTGAATCCAGATTATGAAAAACTTGTATATAATATTGAAATGACAAGAACTGTAATTGAATAATTGGTAAGTGAATTATATAATTTTTCGTTTATTTACCTCGAACAAACGTTTTATGGGAAGCAACATTCCATAATCTTTTCCATGTTTTGTTACTTATGTAACCATGGCAACTGGTTCTTTATACTTATTGAAGTTCTTCATGTTTAAATTCAGAAGAAACTATATACATTTTGTAATTAACAAGAGAGAAATCATATCCAGTCTATGACACATGATTATGAACTGGTTGTCATGGTAGCCAGGTCTGGCAAGATTTCATCAATTACTGGAAATTAACTTAACAATTTATAAATGACATAATTTTTTCTGAAACCATTTGTCCAACATTTTGCATATATTTATGCATATGTTAACAATTTGGTTGACTTTTGGTTATAATAAAGATTTTTATATTCTTGTACATCTATTTTGTGATGGTTGACAAATGTTGACTTTGGCATTCAAAGGTTAAAGGTTGAAGGAAAACCACAATCTATTGGGCATTCAGCATGTACTCTGTTGTCATTATGTTGGATTCTCTGCACCACAATAATTACAATTAATGACACAAAACATTATATCATCTCATTAATTATGCATTTATATAGGTCATTGAACGTGTGTGATAAATAGATTTGTCGTGACAGAAAGATTTACATTGTTTTATGAATTTGTATTTATCAAATAAGCTTGTTTTTAGCTCCGCTGTCAAATTAGTTGAGCGGAGCTTATTATATGAGTGATTGTCCTTCGTCGTCCGTGTCAACTTTTTCCATTTTCAACATCTTCTTGAAAACTACAATTCTTATTGCTTTGATACTTGATGTATATGTATCTTACGGCAGACCTCTCTTAGATTTGTTCATTTCATGATGATATCTTCATTATCTAATTTTGATGAATATTTTGTCATTTTTGGTAAATGTGACATTTTCGACTTCTTGTTGAAAACCGCAA